ACAGATCCCCAGTAAAGACCTTGTCTCCTAGTCGGCCACCGGGACAAGACCACAGGAACCAGTCGAGTCCTCTGCTCAATGTGACTTTGCTGCAGCCTGGAATTGAAATGCTGGTTTCGTCTGGCCAGAGGAGAACTGGCCCCCACGACTGAGCCTGGTTTCTCCCAAGGTTTTTTCTCCATTCTGTCACCAATGGAGTTTTGGTTCCTTGCCGCTGTCGCCTCTGGCTTGCTTAGTTGAGGACACTTAATTTCCAGCAATATCGTCGACTTGATTGCACAGATACTATTTAAACTGAACTGAGCTGGATGATGACATCACTGAATTCAATGATGAACTGCCTTTAACTGAAAATTGAGTGTTTACTATTGTCATTTTGCATTATTGACACAATATTTTCCTAATCAATGCTGTACAGTTGCTTTGACACAATCTGTATTCTTAAAAGCGCTATATAAATAAAGGTGACTTGACTTGACTTGACATGAGTAGGTGGAATTTTCACATTGATTTAACCACGCAATATAACAACTTTCTCAATCTCGTAATTTTGACTTTATTCTAAAAATATTATGGCACTAAAATGCTGCCATATTTACTAAATTACTTAATGCAACACACTCTTGACATAACCGCCTAAAATGCAAAAAGAAAGAAAGAGAAAAAGAGAGAAAGGGGAAAAATGCTTATTTTAGTTATTTAGTTTAGTAATTAATTTAATTTAATTTAATTTAATTCTCCGGGCCTTTCTTTTGGCAAAATCCTCCACAATGTCCTTGGTGTTTAATTTAAGGCTTTGTGTATTCTCAATTGAAAGAATGGCTACTTTCAATATTCTTTCAATTATCTTTCGATAAAAGAGAATTAAAATTAAAGACATAGAATTAAAACGGTAGGTGGAGCTGAAGCTAGATTTGATACAGTTGTGATAGTCTTTTCAACTAGCTAGCTACCAACTTCACACAGGTTTTATTATTATTAATTAAATGCAGCGTTTGCACGTAGT